TTGTTTAAATTATCGTAATGAGATTGTTTAGTGAAATTGAAAGATGAACTTGAGGACGATTTTCTATAGATTTTGAACTTCTTATATGTGATAATTTGATAGCTTGTATGGACACGCCAACAATTCTCTCACGTGATACAACAATGGTTGAAGATGAGACAAATTTTGCGGATTTTTTATTTTGAGGGGAAATTTAGAACAAAAGAAATCTTATATTTTTAACACGTAGTTATATTCAATACATCGACAGGTTTGTTTTCTCTCTTTTCAGTATACGCACGCTCAGCGTCGCTACTGAAGCTCGCACTCGCCCTCGACATCCCCTCGTTTGGAGTTCGCTTCGACCTCTTCATCAGCCCTCATGACTTCGAACAAATTGAAAGCGTCAACGCCTTCGATTTCTTCAAAATCAAAGCCTTCCTCTTCTAAATGCAATAATCCTCTTACGTCGTAAGTAAATTTTTGTATGAGATATAATGTTTGTTTTAATATGCGTCGAAAGTTGAAATTGATGTCTCCGCCTACTGATGTATGTGTCAACAAGTCATTGCTTGATGAGATATATCATCTTGCATGTTTTGTTCCCCCTCTCCAAATCTGTTATGTATTATGTAGTTGCTTGATGAGTCATTGCTTGTTTGTTTAGATATAATGTTAGTGTTTATATGCGTGTTTTTTGGCAAGTAATATATCCTTAGCTATACATAATTTTCCCAATTATATTTATTTTTAACCTTCTAAATTATAATTCTCTTGTAGGGCTATGATAACACAATTAAGAATTCCATCCAATATTTGTTTTTTTGAAATTTAATTGATAAGCTTATAGTATTGGATGAAAGGCATACGAAATCTCTTGAGACGACACCTTTTCACAACTTTCTCCGGATACCGACATCATTGAACAATGAGCAAATAGCAATTGAATGCTTGATTCAAAAATTTAATCCTGATAAATGCTCATTTTTGATTGGCAATAAAGAATGTGTATTTGGTATAGAGGATATTCACCGAATTACCGGTTTACCAAAGGAGGGAATTCCAATAAAAATGAGTGGAACGGCGGCTAATACAATCTACACCCAAATTGTAAAGAATTATAAGACACTCAAGCAGAAGAAAGGTAGTAGGAGTAAACGCAAGAAGAAAGTCGATGATGAAAAGAAGGCGGTGATTTGGGGGATGCGCGATAGAATGGCTGAGATTATTGTAGAAATGGCTAATAAAGATCATGTAACTTGTGTGAAACTTATTGTGGCTTTCATTATCGGCTTCATATTATGCCCGCGGACATGTAGGACATGTCCTTTGTGGGCGTTTCGATATGCAGAGCAGTTGTCCACTTTGAATAAATATAATTGGTGTCATGCGGTGTTTACTTTTCTATGCAAAGAGATGAATAAGGCGAAGAAGTCTCTTAGTATGAGGAACTTAGGGGAGCGTTCATACGCTGGTTACATGGGTGGTTTTTCCTCCGTATTACTGGTGAGTTGCATGAGAATTACTTTGTAAAAATATTTTTGACAATGGTTATTGTTTATGCACATTCTAATTATATAGATTTTTTGTAGGTTTGGTTTTATGAAATAGTGGGAGAATTAGAGTATACTTCAGATATTGAGGGGCTACCGCTGATATTTTGTGTTAAGAATACCGGAAAGTGGAGGAGGACTACCATGAACAAATTATTCAGAGATCCAAAGTTTCTTACAGATATTGGCCAAAAGAATACTCCTCTTATTCATAGGGCATCGCCAGAAGTTTGTTCACATCTTTGCTCTAATAGTTCACTATTTTTATGTTCCTTTCTTTTTTTAATATCTTTATCTATAACTACAATATGAGTACTAATGCTTGTATATTTTTTGTGTTATAGGAATCACGGAAAGCTGAATTGATTGCAATAATTGCTAGGAAGACTGCCGAGTTGAATGAGCTCACTGCTGAATTACGAGAATTAGAAGAGCGTGGTGCTAGAGGCATAAAAAAGAATAAGGAGAAAGAGGATACGGTAACTGCTAATGCAGAGAATAAAAGCAAAGAGGATACAAAAGCTAATGATAATGAGAATGTGGAAGAGAAAGTGATAGAGGATAATGAAACCCACTTCAAGGAAAATATAGAAGAAGAAATTGAGAAAGTCGATATTGAACATGAATTGTGAGTTTCTATTCTCTTAGTTTTTGCTTTTTTAACTTTTTGTATAATGTTTGTGTATCTCTTTGTTAATTATATGCATTTCAACTCCTTAGAGATTTTTCTCAAAATGAGGAAGGTGGTAATGATAATAAGAGGGAAACCCCATCCATCAAACGGGCTGTCAGAAAGAGGAAGAGGAAGGATGGACCCTTTGTCACTTCACCCTATTTGCGTCTAGATCAACCCAAAGAAGTCACAAAGAAGAAACGCGTTATCCAGATCTTGGATAGTCCTGAGGGGACTCCTAAAAAGAAGTGCATAAATGAAGAAGGCTTCATACCTAGATCTCGCAACTATCCAGGAAAGACACTGGTCTCTGATTATGAGGACAAAGTAATAGACAACTTTCTACAACTGAAAATGACCAGGTAACTGTTAAGGACTTATTCTAATAATAATTCTTTAAATTAACTTAATTTTAGTCACAATTTTCTCACACGTACTTGCATATAGTGATACATACGTTTGGAAGTGTGCCGAAGCAAGTGTATCTCGCTTAGATGCTTATAGACTTTTAACAGGAGGTGAACTCAGTGACGATGTAAGTGCTAAATTGTGTCATGGTTGGTGGTTGATGTTGTATATATTAGTTATAAATATTTCACTCATTCATGGTAATTTTTGTAGGTCATCGATGCATTTGTTATTCGACTTTGTTATAAGATTGAGACAACTAATAGTTATGATCGAAAAATACATGTTACGAGACCTTGGCTTGCAGTAAGTATATCCCTGTTTTTTCATTGGATGTTGGTATTTATTATTATGTTTCCTTACATGGTTTACATTGATGCCTCTTTGTAGCAAGCATTTCTGAAAGGAAATATTGAAATGATGGCAAAACGAATGAAGGAAAATGTTTCTCAGCAGAAGTTTTGTGAGTGTGAAAGAATTTTGATCCCAATTGTCAGCTCCGGACATTGGCATATGGTAGAGTTAGTGAGGGAGGAGAAAAAATTCTATCACTACTCCTCAATCAAGTCTTCCCTTTATACCGCCGATGCTGCGAAATTTAAAAATAAGTTTATGAGTTTCATAGAGAGTAATTGGACGTTAGGGAAATTAGAGCACCATGAACTTGTGTCAGTTGCCGCTCCTCAACAAGGACCGTACATGTTTCATGCATTTACATTGTAATATTTTAATTTTTTCCTCGAAGGTAATTTTCAATGTCGTAATTTTGTTTTTTTGCTAAATGCAGAACCTTAGATTGTGGGATCTTTGTGATTGAATTCATTAATAGCATTGTCGAAAAGCGATCGATAACAATCTCACAAGGAGAGTGTGCAAAATACAGAGCAAAGTTTTGTGCAGCTCTCTTGTATGCACGCAATTCACCATATTTCTGACGATTGTAATTCACAAGGTAATTACTCAAATATTACTCTTTACACAAGCTAAAATAGATGGAAGAGCATGTCATTAATTCCTTAATTTTCACCGTGGGATTCTCTTTGGGATGCAGAGAACGCCTTTGATGTTTGGTCCATTGTTTCAAGTTGGCTTAAATCTTCCACTCGCTGCAAGATGTGAATTGTTATTGTTGAAAGTTAACTGAGAGTAAAAGATAGCCTGCATATTCGGTGAAGTAAAGATTCACTGACTACAGTGCATGCATTGCATATGGTTGCAGTGAAAACTAAAATAAACTGCATTGCATGTAGTTGCATTGAAAGTAATAAGGTGACAGTAGCAGGCAAATTATATATTCTCTTTTGATCAGATCATTGATTGAAAGCATGGGTTGCCATATCATCAATTTAGGATTTTTCATTACTTTCGATGTTTCATCTTGCATACATACTTTAGATCTTTGGATTGAATTCTCGAATGATAAATCCTTATTGACTCTTTTGTTACAGGGTGGGTGTGATTCTTTTGGGTAGTTTTGTTTGCTGCCAAGAAAAGCAAGGTCCTCACCAAGCAATCTCTAAGCATAACAAGTTCTACAATATCAGCATATTCTTCTTCTCGTCGATCCCATCAAGATGCTCCCTTGAAATCTTCTGTGGGCGAATCTAATTAGCCGAAGTTTCTGCTTATTGTATCTTTGGCTATTTAGAAATGCTTCTCTCCCGTCCACTGTTGTTCTTTTTTAGTACATTAAATGGAAAAGACATGTTACTGTTTGGTGGAACTTCGGTTGTTATAGGTATCTAGATCTTGAAAACTTTACACTTGCTATGTTATGATATGGACCTGCTTAGAAATATATTAGTGCACAGACTATAAAAAGTGTCTGATGACACATTTTTTGTGGCCCTTTCTTTCGCAGCTATGGTATATTTTGTTGCTTTTAACTGATGTTCAGGTTGAGTTATATGCTTGTTTTGCTATTTTGTAGCATGTTGTTGAAACTTCGGCTAATTAGATATTGCAGAATAAGCAAAAACTTCGGTGGAACTTCATTTTATTTCATTCGGTGGAACTTCGGCTAATTAAATATTGTAAAGTTACTGCTTACTGTATCTTCGGTGGAACTTCATTGTAGCATTTTACATGGCAATATAAGTATACTCCAGTTCATTGTAGCATTATCTTTTTGTATATGCTATAAAATAAGAGCACATGTAAAATTGCAGAATGAGAGCGTGACTAGAGTTTTATACCAGTGTCTTGAAAACTTTACACTTGCTATGTTATGATATTGCCTTGCTTAGAAATATATTAGTGCACAAAATGTAAAAAGTGTCTGATGACACAATTTTTGTGGCCCTTTCTTTCACAGCTATGGTACATTTTGTTGCTTTTAAATGAAGTTCGGGTTGAGTTATATGCTAGTTTTGCTATGTTGATAAGATGACAGGGTGCAATATTCAATGTAAATCTAAAATTAGAGTATACTTATGAAAAACTTTTGTAACCCCTTAATCAATTTTTGTAACTCGTTAGACCAGTATTGTAACCCGTTGGTGAAGTTTTGTAACTCATAGTTCCGAAAAAAATTTGTAACTCCTTTAAAAAATTTTATAACTCCTTAGACCAGTTTTGTAACCCCTAAATAAAGTTTTGTAACTCTTACTTCTGGAAAAAAAAAATTTATAACCCCTTAATCAATTTTTGTAACTCGTTAGACCAGTATTGTAACCCGTTGGTGAAGTTTTGTAACTCATAGTTCCGAAAAAAATTTATAACTCCTTAAAAAAAATTTATAACTCCTTAGACCAGTTTTGTAACCCCTAAATAAATTTTTGTAACTCTTAATTCTGAAAAAAAAAATTTATAACCCCTTAATCAATTTTTGTAACTCGTTAGACTAGTTTTGTAACCCGTTGGTGAAGTTTTGTAACTCATAGTTCCGAAAAAAATTTGTAACTCCTTAAAAAAATTTATAACTCCTTAGACCAGTTTTGTAACCCCTTAATCAAGTTTTGTAACTCTTAATTTTGGAAAAAAAATTTATAACCCCTTAATCAATTTTTGTAACTCGTTAGACCAGTTTTATAACCCGTTGGTGAAGTTTTGTAACTCATAGTTTCGAAAAAATTTTGTAACTCCTTAAAAAGATTTTATAACTCCTTAGACCAATTTTGTAACCCCTTAATCAAGTTTTGTAACTCTTACTTCTGAAAAAAAAAATTTATAACCCCTTAATCAATTTTTGTAACTCGTTAGACCAGTATTGTAACCCGTTGGTGAAGTTTTGTAACTCATAGTTCCGAAAAAATTTTGTAACTCCTTAAAAAGATTTTATAACTCCTTAGACCAGTTTTGTAACCCCTTAATCAAGTTTTGTAACTCTTAATTCTGAAAAAAAAATTTATAACCCCTTAATCAATTTCTGTAACTCGTTAGACTAGTTTTGTAACCCGTTGTTGAAGTTTTGTAACTCATAGTTCCGAAAAAAAATTGTAACTCCTTAAAAAAATTTTATAACTTCTTAGACCAGTTTTGTAACGCCTTAATCAAGTTTTGTAACTCTTACTTCTGGAAAAAAAAATTTATAACCCCTTAATCAATTTTTGTAACTCGTTAGACTAGTTTTGTAACCGTTGTTGAAGTTTTGTAACTCATAGTTCCGAAAAAAATTTGTAACTCCTTAAAAAAATTTTATAACTCCTTAGACCAGTTTTGTAACGCCTTAATCAAGATTTGTAACTCTTAATTCTGTAAAAAAAAATTTATAACCCCTTAATCAATTTTTGTAACTCGTTAGACCAGTATTGTAACCCGTTGTTGAAGTTTTGTAACTCATAGTTCCGAAAAAAATTTGTAACTCCTTAAAAAAAATTTATAACTCCTTAGACCAGTTTTGTAACGCCTTAATCAAGATTTGTAACTCTTAATTCTGTAAAAAAAAATTTATAACCCCTTAATCAATTTTTGTAACTCGTTAGACTAGTTTTGTAACCCGTTGGTAAAGTTTTGTAACTCATAGTTCTGAAAAACTTTTGTAACTCATTAATTTTTGTAACTCCTTCCAAAATTATCAACTCACAAAATGAAGGTACACAAGGTTCAAAGAACACATAACTGCATCCATACATACATAATTTTATTTCAAATTTTCATATTATTCCGAATAAAATGATTACTCAGTACAACAACATTATCAACTCACAAACTTAAGATACACATGGTTCAAAGAACACATAACTCATTGTTTAAATCATCATATTATTCTGAAACATATTATTAATCCATACAACTACATTATCATCTCGCAAATTATGGGTACAAAAGGTTCAAACAACAAATAATTGCATCCATACATTAATAACTTTAGTTCAAATTATCACAATGTTCCGAAACACATGATGGTTATTGTAAGTCAGGGAAATACGCTTGCAAACTAATTTGTTTTAGCTCTCCATTAACTTTCTCGACCTCCACCTGCAACATTTTTCATCTACAAAAAAAAATAACTTTATTATGAAAAATGCATCGAAATTGGGGGGGGGGATCAAATTAAACCACATTATCATCCATACATACATAAATCTTAAGGGAAAAGTGAATAAATCAAATTGTGAACATTCAACCGAAACACATGCTTTGTTTTGGCCCTCCGTAAACTTTGTTTTGGCGATGCCGTTAACTTTCTCGACCTCCACGAGCAACATTTTTGTTCTACAAAAAAAATTGCAACTTTATCATGACAAATGCAAAGACATTGAAAAAATATTAAATCAAGATTAAGTATAATACCTTAGCTAAAGGATAACTCGTTATATAATGTCCTTTTCCCTTACAAAACCCACAAAATCTTTGTTTTTTTATACTCTTTTCTTGTGCTATCTCCACTCCCGACTTAATTCTAGTAGCATGTGCTGGTCGTCCCTTCGTGGCAACAGGCTTATCTGGATCACGAATAGTGATTTGAGTTGCTTCCTCTATAGAGATGGGTATGGATGAAGTAGGCATCTTGTTGCTGGCATTGCTCTCATTTCCATCATCGTTATGTTCCTTGTCTTTATTGTAATTCTCAACTTCTTCAAAAAAAGAGTCTAAAAGAGCACTAAACTTATCATGAAGTGTACTTGAAGTCAATGTGTCTTCTAGTGCCTTGTTGCATCTACTCCTAAGAGCCCAATGTTTAATGATAGAGAGTTGGTCTTTACTATTTGTAATGCAATTTCTAACAACTCCAAACCCAACATGTCTTGCATTAATTGTCCATCGTTGCATAATATATCTTGATGGAATTTCTAATACTTGCTTCTTTACTAAAATGTGCAAGCTATGTTTGCATAATATACCTTCCATCTCAAATCTTGCACAAGAACACTTAATTCTTTTTTCTTTGGATGCATCGAAGACAACATGATGCTTTTCTACCTTCTTGCTTCCAGCCTCCCTATCTATATTCCAAACGGCATAAGTAACACTTGCGCCATCCTTCGACAACCTCTCATGAAGCATTGAGTAACTATCCTTGAGTTCTTTCTGAAAGATAGTAAACATATTCTTTGTATAATTCTCCCTAGCTTGTTTTTCAATTGGATGATCAATTATCAATGTAGGAATTGTGTTTGTGGACTTAAAATCTTGCTCAAGTTCGGCCGCTCGTCGAGCTCTGACAGCATTATCATATTGCTTAACAAAATCATGTAACTCGGTATTTGCATTATTGGAATTAACAAAGTGATCAAAAAAAGCATTAATTCCCTCACTCCGCTGAGTAGATGTCATTCCTGCAGTAAAAGTATCTTTAAGATACACAGGAGCCCAATGATCTCGATGATTGTATAAATTAACTAACCAGCTCCTTTTATCTGCACCATATTTATCCCTCATTTCTTCCCAGCGCTTTTCAAATTTTTCTTCTGATTTACTCCAATACCATTCGTAATACTTTATAAAAACTTCCTCACCAAAATCATAACGCATTGATTGAAGATTTTGTAATTATTCCTATGAAGGTGCCAAGAACAAAAGCGATGTCGAGTTTGAGGAAAAACTTTGTGAATTGCACTACAAATAGCTTTATCTTGATCAGTGATGATTGTTAATGGTGCTATACCTGACATACATTTCAGCCATTGGCTAAATAACCATATAAAGGTCTCCTCCATTTCATCGGTCAATAGTGCACACCCAAATAGAATAGATTGTCGGTGATGGTTAACGGTGATGGTTAACACCCGTAAATGGTGCAAACGGTAATTTTAAATTGTTTGTTCTATATGTAACATCAAAACAAACAACGTCTCCAAATTGCAAGTAAGAAGTCCTCGCCCTACCATCCATCCAAAAAACACTTCTCATCATCCCATAATTTTGTAAATCTAGTGCAAAGTAAAATTGAGGATCAGATACATTTTTTCTCTTGAAATTGACGAACTATGTTCACACATTCATGTCCGACATTGTTTCTTCGTTTAAACTTCTTAGATGACCTTGGCATTCTTGTCGTGTGAGAGAGCCTTGTTCATTTCCATGAGCAACGTCTAAAACCTTACAAATGGTAGAAGGCCGTAAACCTTGGCTGTCAAGAGTATCTATCAACCTTTTTGTCGCTCGAGATCGATGAAGTGTCCGATGCGAGTAGTGCTTCTTTACCCGATTTGGGGTGGTTAACATATGGCCATTATGATTAACGTTTAAACTTCGCACCAACCATTTTCCAGTACTTCTATCAAGTCCAATAACCATCCTTGCGTTGCATCCACATCTTGTATCACACTTTCGAATTATATTCCGACCATCTTCTCTTTTATCTTTTAAATATTTAAAGCCCTCTTTGTCACATACAAAGGTTCTAGATATGATTGCATCTTTCTTTCTCGACCGTGCTGTATGACCCTTGCGAATACCAAATCCCTTAAGTCTGGCATATGCATTGTAAAAATTATAACCTTCCTCCTGAGTAGAGAACTCCATTCCGATATATGGATCAACAACAAGATTACCTTCGCTATTTTCGACACCAATAGGGCCATCAACATTCTCCTCATGCTCGGATGCCTACAAAAATAGAGAAACAAAAATTATTAAAAAAAACCCAGTTCATGCTAAAAGACAAATATTTGGTATATGTCATTAGATAGCAGTACACTATAAATAATAGGGTATTATCACTTGAGGAAAAAACTTGCCGTAGATAGTTGATCATGGTGCTCGCCTTCAAGATCAAGCCCTATATGTTTGTTTTCATCTTCATCCATTGTTGTATCACGTGGGAGAATTGTTGGAGTGTCCATACAAGCTATCTAATTATCACATATAAAAAGTTAAAAATCTTTAAAAAATAGTCATCACGTTGATCTTTCAAATTCACTAGAAAATTTCATTATCCAAACTCAAAAACTAAAATCAACCACAATGAATAGTAGCTCAAATTGTACCAAATTCAACACAATCAACAAAGTTTAGGACCTAGTTGGGTGAATTTACTCAATTCGGTAACAGTTAGCTCAGAGTTTCTGGAATATTTTCAAATTGAGCAAACTAATCATTTTCACTGTCTTGCATCTTATTCTACATGAGAGCACCTAATGCTTGCTTAGTTCTTTTTTTTTAATTACTTGCCGGTAGTCTATATGAATGAGTGACGACGATGTGCACTATTGCAGTTAAGTCTATTGTTCTTGTATTTTGTTTCGAAGAGACATATACACCAATCTATTGCCTCATATTAGAACCCTGCAATCTTCTATGGTCCCTAGCCCTAATATTGCTAAAATGTCCACTTTGTATACCTGAGTTTGGAGAAAATGACTTTGAGGTGTTCACCACTGAATATTTGTTTCCCAAAGGATTGGTGAGTAGAGATTCATTGCTGTGCTAAAAGTTTGATGATAGGGAGGAGAATTTCTTTAGTAAATACGCAATGAATATAGAAATTAGAGACCAAGTTCCTGAGGTATTTGTTTAGAATTTGCTGAATACCAGGGGATCAGTAGCAATAGGAGGCTCACAATCATGTTGCCGTCTTCTATACTAGTTCTAAATTGACAAGTCTTCTTCATGTGTGCTTCCTTTTGTTTAAAACTTTCAATGAAATTTAACATCATACTGCAACCACAATTCAGCTATTTCTCTTCAAGTATTATTCATCTACAAGTTCTACTTCTTACTAGCTACTGTAACCTTGACCTTTTCTTAGCGCATTTATCTTAAAGGCCAGATACCATGATGTGGGTGAACTATAATCTTGACCAACTTTGTGCTGACCCTGGTCTACCATCGGCAACAACCAACTACTTGCTTCAGGAAACCTAGACTATTCCTTTCCAAATGTAAGAACATTGAATATTGTCGAATCTCTTGACACCAAAAATAGTGTGTTAGAAGCAAAGGATTGATAAGGTCAAGGGTGTACTTTCTTGACGACAAGTAAGAAGAATCTCAAAAAAAAAAAAAAAGTATGTGATATAGCATAAGAATTTAGTTCCTATGATGAATGATCCTCAATATAAACAAAGCTTGTGTTGTATATATATATAACTATATATATACAAGGAAACCAATATAATGTGTGCGTATATATGATTGAGCTTAAAGTACCAACACACATAATATAAACCTAAACTAATGTTACCCAAGGTTGATCTTGATCTTCATTGTAGCTCAACTTGGTAAACTTGGATGAAGCTTGAACTTGGATCTTCAACTTTGAATAGCAAGGCTTCAATCACTATTCCACCAACCTCCATTTGATATGATCGTTATGGCGCAATCCATCCATCCTCCAACACGTTGTTTGTCTATAATAAATAGGAAAACACATACACTAGACAAACAACATTAGTAATAAATTGTTTGTTAAATATCATCAAAACAAGAAGGCCAACAATTAATATTTGTTCTCATTCAAAATACTTGTAAAGTTAGATGAGAAGATAAAAGATTAATGAGCCCAGGGGAAGATCATAGCACGAGAAATCTAGGTCTAGCCTGATGCACAATTGACGTAGATGATGAAGACACCACTCCAAAACTACTCTAGAAAAAGATAAAAGTGAAGAAGACTTGATCTCGGCTCAATCAAAAATAAAACAGAATGAATAAAAGACAATATTTTCTTAATATTTTATAGAATAGCCTAATTTTTTGAGTAAAATTAGGAATATTTGGAAGAGTTTTTCACTAATTTTTAAATATTTTTATATACTTATTTTGTAAACATTTTATCATATAAAATTATAATAGAGTCAGCATTAATATTTAGTTTATGGTTTTTAATGAAGTCTATCAATGATTAGAAATAAAATCTATATTCTCTTTTGTGCCATTTTAACCACTTTTAATTAATTTTTAGGCTTATTTTTTTAATTATTCCTTTGCTATTATAATGCTATTTTTTCAAGTATTTTTTACTTTGCATCCGTTCAAAACATCTTTAACTTCAACTCTTTGAATGGAGATGGAGATTTGATGTCAAGGCCGCAGATTGTTTATTCAAGTCAAAATTTCCATATTCTCTTCTTATTTTCTTTGCCTTATCAGAAACTTCTAAGATGAAATTTTGGATAGAATATCAATTACAAAGCAGGGTTTTGTCTTAATTGTAAAGTCAGTATTTGGGCTTGGCCGAAATTTTCTGGATGGCTTCATTATTTTATTTGTTGCTAAGGTCATTCTTTTAATACATTGTACAAAGGATGGATTTAAGATGAATAAAGAAAAAGAACTCATTTCTAAACAGAAGTTTTGCTTTCTTTTTTCTGTGAAGTATAACTTATCAACATGAAACTTAAATTTAAGTGTAGCCCATTCAAACAAGCATTAAAAAAGATAAACAATCACAATATTAAATATTAGAGACATAAGTGAGTAAAAACTATTAAATTGAAAGTGAAGAAAATTTTTTTAATAAGAAAATAAACTAAAAATAAATAATTATGATATTTAACCACGTGCAATGCACGCACATAAAAACTAGTTGTTATAAATAAGGTAGTATAAAATAACTCATCTCAAATGGAAAAAAAAAATACCCTAGAAATATCTTATAACTTGATGAAACTTTACTGTAAGTGTACCTTACATAGTATTTATAATGATTAAGTTTAGTTTAAAATAAAAGGTGGTTAGTGTACAATACCCCTATATTAAGGTGGTTTCCAAGGAAAAAAAAAAGCCTTTTTACACAAACTAATCCAAACTCAACTTTCATTTCAACGTTACAACCACCTACTCCCAAATCTCACACCAAACTCTGCAAGAGTCGCATGCAAAAAAAATTTCCCACCCATCTCAACTGATTCCACTTCCTCACGCACAACCCCAGTCACCAAATGTCTGACACTAACTCACCTAACTCCAGATCCCGAAGCTGAGCTCGGTCACACCATCCGTATAACCGGCCACCAATCAATTTTTTTTTTCAATTCCGCTAATCCTCTCCGTTTTGCGAGCAAAAAACAAAAACATTTAACCTCGCTCCTCCCTTCCTCCCTTCCGCGATCCGCAAAGAAACTCATCTTCTAACATGGGGTGGCCAATCTCGCATCGAGATGAGGAATCGTGTCCCGATGCAATGGATCGGAAGCGTTCATGAGGGACGCGCCGTCGCCCCGCAACGCCTTCCGCTCGCCGTCGCCCACCGTTCGTCTACATCATGTCCCTCAAGAACTCCGGCGCCGCCCTTCAGCGACTTCGGCCACGGAGAGTCCAGAACATTCAAATCTCTTCCATCACCAGCCGGTCGCTCGATCTCGAAGGCCGCTTCGTCGTCGTCGTCCTCTGGCCTCGCTCGCTTCTTTGTGGTCCAACCGCCCATGACTCTCTCCGCCACGCGCGCGCCGCTCTCCGGATTTCTCCGCTCATCTTCACGCTGCAGAGGCCGCTACTATGGCGGAGATCCTCGAACAAGTTTAGCATTCGAAGTCGCTGGCGGATCCGGCAATTAACAGGATGAAAGGATGGGGAAATGAGAAGGAGGGAAGAAGTGAGGAGCCTCGGCTGAGGCGGGAAAGAGGAAGACCAAAAGCCCTGAACGCGCCCCGCGCCTCCTCCTCGCACCGGCACCGGATGCGAGAATGGGAACCGTGGGACTATTTCTTCGCGAATTATGATCGGGATGTTGCAAGGCGGGTTCTCTTGCATAAATGAGGAGAATCGACGGAGCCGGCTGAGCCCGAGAAAGGGGGTCGGGGAGCCGCCGATACCTCCTCCTCCTCCTCCTCCGCCGGAACGGCGCGATGATGAGCCTCCGGAGGGGGTTGCCGCCGAAGCCAGAGAAGAAGAATAAGAACCAAGGGGTGAATGTGCATCATCAGCACGCGGCGTCGGCGAGCGCGGTGGAGACAAAGAAGGGGAAGATGGCGGAGAGGACGGGGGCTGTGGAGAAGAAGAGCGTGAGCTTGTTGCAGGTGCTGATTGATTTGGATGATCATTTCTTGAAGGCTTCGGAAAGCGCACATGAGGTTTCGAAGATGCTGGAGGCAAATAGGATGCATTATCACTCCAATTTTGCGGATAATAGAGGTATTTTTAATTTTGGTTTTGAATTTGGGTCATTTGAGAAGTTTTTTGTGCAGTGACAAATATTCTCAAGTTATGGTCATAGATAATAGTTAGATTTTAAGTGTTTTGAACTTCAATTACCTTCAATATTGTGAGGTGTTTGTTGGTGTTGGGGATAGAAGTTCTTATGAGCAATATTTGGTTAATTGGGAAGCCTTATTGTAGGAGTCAATTCATCATATTTGCATTAATGAATTGATGAGGTATCTTACCTATAGAAAGGACAAATATTGTACATCACTTGAACGTACAAGGTCCTACACGCGTTAAAAGGAATTCTGCACAACAAAAAATCTTTCGTGGGCTAAGAAAAATCTGCTAGCTTCCACAGATTTCTAGAATCAGTGCAAAGATTATAAATTTGGCTGAAAGCTGATTTTGTTTTCTTCAATACAACTATAGGTTCAAGCTAAGAGGCATGGGCAAGCACGCCATGAGTGTCTGTGTTCAACTCTGTCTGGACTCAGATCCAATGATAGTTTGTTTCTGTTAAGATTTTGTGTCTAAATTTCAGACTTTTAGGATGTTTTAGATATATATCAGAGTCTTTTCTGTAATCCCATTGTGTTCTGCGCCTTAACCTAGAATAAATAAAGGAGAGCTTTGTGTTGTAAATAAGTTGATAATAAAAGACCAGTCAAACAATGTATTCTCTAAAGGAAAACACCAAAATCTTATAGTAGTGAGATCTCCTTTTCTACATAAATTCTGAGATAAACGCTAGAAATCTAAAATCCTATACAGATCAAGAGGATGATTATTGGACCTTCGGGAGATGTGAGAAAGATAGATAAAGAATAAAACTTTCCCTTGTTATAGTTGTCAAAATTTTGAAGTGAGCGCTACAAAATAAAAGGATGGGAGTTTAATCTCATAAAATCCTTATTTTCTGTACTTCTTCAAACATAATCAATCAGATTGGAGCAAGCAGATTTTTGCCCAATTGACAGTGTGTAACAATTACAGGACAAGGTACTATTTTGGACGAAGAAGTACCGGAAGAAGGGCATAAGTAGAGTAGAGAAGGTCCAGACAGTGGGTTTGGATCACTATTGGAGAACCCCATATTGGGAAGAACAACTTCCTTGTTCAATAAGGACGCATCGAACAGGATTAGGTTTGGCAAGGCCTATCTATTTATAGACAGCTGTGGAGTGAAGCTGTTTTTTTTGTGGCTAGGCAGGGGAAGCAATATAAGTGTAACATATATGTACCAGAACTACATATATGCACCATTGTCGAGAATGTACTTGCATAAGCTGCTGTATGCATATCCTTCTTTAACAGAAGCATATCCATGGGCATGCTATTATGCTGGACTATGCACGTAAGCACTATAAGGGGATGTTTCAGAAGAGGGTACCTGCAAATTTTGATGCTTCTGCATCAGAAGTTTATGGATATAACATATCTAATTATTTCCTTGCCTGCTTCTTTTGTATGTAAATGGTATCCGCTATAATGTAATTTTTCCTTCTTCCATTGCATATATTTAGATACCTACTCATGTGTGATTGCAGTAATTTGTTTAGTGAACTGAACTCTATTATAATTTGCATGAAATTTCATGTCCCACCATGCTTTGACTCCATTGTAGCTTGAAGGTAAGCAGCCTGGGATGACCATTAGAAGGACTGCAACTTTAGGTTCTTACTGAATCTATCTTAATTTCATTATTTGATGTACTTGCTCCATTTACAAGGTCATTTTCAGCCCTTTCGAGTTGTTTATGTTCATGTAGATTTTATAAGAAAATCATCTATCCTTTACTGCAGGGCACATTGATCACTCTGCGAGAGTCATGCGGGTCATAACATGGAATAGGTCCTTTAAAGGCATGCCTAATAGAGATGATTGGAAGGATGATTTTGATAATGATGAATGGGAAACACATGCCACTGTTTTAGATAAAATGCTTGCATGGGAAAAGAAATTATATGAAGAAGTGAAGGTAGGTTTCCTTTAAAAAGGAACACATAAATCATTTACTTTTTACCTAAAATATTGGTGTGTCTCTTCCATTAGGTAACATATTTCTATTCCTTTGCTTTTGACACCAACCTTACTGATAGGGAAGTGCTTTGATTGAGAATAATATTTTAGAATATGAAATAATGTAATAGTTAATAGCTCTTTCATTACATAGTTTGTGAAATTTATATATTTGGAATTTTGTAGTCAAAAAGTAAAAGAATTATATGAAGAAGTGAAGGTAGGTTTTCTTTAAAAAGGAACACATAAATCATTTACTTTTTACCTAAAATATCGGTGTGTCTCTTCCATTAGATAACATATTTCTATTCCTTTCCGTTTGACACCAACCTTACTGATAGGGAAGTACTCTGATTGAGAATAATATTTTAGAACATGAAATGATGTAATAGTTAATAGCTTTTTCATTACATAGTTTGTGAAATTTATATATTTGGAATTTTGTAGTCAAAAAGTCGTTTGTTTTGCTATCAGTGGGATTTGTTGGACATGTTCCTTATACTCTTGTAATGAAATATAACATTGAGAAAATTTCACAAACCCCCCACTCCTCTAAACTTCGGGTTTTGCACCAAAACCTACTAAACTTTGAAAATTAGAGAAAACCTCCATTAACTTCTTTCACTAAAATACTAGGACTGGTGACAGTTAGTTTAGGATATACCATGGGCCATAAAAAGCATGTAACATTTCCCTCCTTGCTTATACCTTTATCAAAAACACAAAAAAAGAACTAGTAAGACCAGCATCGGGCTTCCGTTATCCCGAAGTTAGAATATATAGATTAATATAAGCAATTAAGCGGTGTACATCCTCCTCATAATATCCAAATTGGCATAATTCTCCTCCATCTTACATCCATTAGGATTAATCACAGTTGTTCGCATTCATGTAGATATTAACTTAATCTCGAGTGGCAGTGCATCAACTATCAGGTTTGACAGTTTTTCAGTTAGGAGGGTTCCTCTTCTGTTCTCATCTTGGTACATTCCAGACTACAAATGGTAGACACTAGGAAATAGAGTCTCATACACTGCAAGAAACCAACACACCGGAAAACTTCATATCATTAGTGAGTGTTAACATATTGTGCCTTCATTCTGCTGCATCTACTATTTCATTTACAGTGGCAAACTGGTTATGGTGATTACTAGGTTTAGTTGGTAGTCTCTCACTGCTCATCGCAAAAGATTCTTGTCCATGACTGACTGCAGAGCCTGTAGAGTGCAATCATGTCAATTTCCATACAATACCTATTGTTAATTTTGTTTCTTGCATGAACCTATTATCATTATCTGTACTATTATATTAAAAACTTAGTGGGGTACCAAAAAATTTGGGGACATTTTACATCCCAATATAAATGTGAGGCGTATATAGGTAATCTTCTCTTCTCTTCTTTTCTTTTCTCTTTTTTTTTCTAGAACATTCTAAAGTATAACATGAGTATCCAACTAGAGCTTACTAATTAAATATCTATCAAAAATTTGTGTTGTTAGAGATATAAATATAATATGATAATAATTAGATATGAATGAATATAAATACAATAATTAGAATTTCCATATGTTTTAATCTACATATTATTGAAAGTCAAAATATACCTTCATACTTGGGATTAAAAATAATTAAATATAATAATTTGATGATAAATTATGAAACATACTCTTCTTTTTAACATTATCTAAAGTGCTCATAGGATGATATTTTGAAAATAATCCACCAAATTATGATGTACCCTATTTTCTTTCATTAAAATCACATTATCGATCAAAATGAAATATCTGGATACCCAATTTCATAGAAGGTAACATAAAATAACTCATCTTCAATGAAAAAAAAAATTATAGACTTATCTTACGAAACTCGATGGAACTTTACTGTAAGTGCCCCTTTTATATAAAATTTGGGAGGATTAAGTTTTCACATCTGTTGCACCTGCATTTGCACATGCAATAATGCTAGTTATCACTTATTTTTCATTTAGGTTTCAAGGTTTCTTATTTCTGGCATGGCTATTCACTTAGAAATTACTCTTGCTGAGGTCAGGCAGGAGAGCTTATGAAAATTGATTACCAGAGGAAAGTTGCTTTACTGAATAAGCAAAAGAAACGTGGTGCTAGTCCTGAGTCAATTGAAAAAACCAAAGCAGCTGTCAGTCATTTGCATACTAGATACATAGTTGACATGCAGTCCATGGACTCAACAGTGCATGAAATCCAACGTTTACGGGATGAACAGCTGTACCCGAAGCTTGTTGAGCTTGTTGATGAGTAAGTAGCTTGCAACTCTTTTGTTTTGCATTGCAACTTCAGAAAATGCTTTTGATTAGTTGTATTGTTATTCTTGGTTCTAGTTTCATGGTAGCATTGGCATAACACAGCTACATTTTTGTTTGTTTGTTTGATTGTTTGTTTGTGCAAGTACAACCTTGATAATGTTCTTTGAGGCAGTGCTTCTATTCATGTTTATTTTTGCCCATAATGCTTATCCAAAATTCTGAAAGGCTGAAACTATTTTCTTTGCCACATCCTATCAACAAACCCTTCATGCGGTCTTAATTCCAAGTGTGCTCCCATGTGTACGGCACTATATAGACCTTGCTGCTTTTCCTCTGTTCCCAATCTGCATAAACGGAGAGTTTATTAGAAATGATACAACATTGTGCAAGCACAGTTAGGATAACTGATAATGTTGTAGGTAATGGAGATATAAGGTCTAAAGTTAGGCTTAAACTACCTTGGATTGAGACAATTAAGGAGGATACTCTTTATTTGACAAGATGACCCTTAACCAATGGAAGAAAAGGATTCATGTTGACAATTTTGAAAATTGGGATGAATGCTTCTTGTGTTTGTTGTTAGTAATCATTTGTGAAGGGAATTTTCTTTGCTAGTTGTAGACCTTTCGATTCATTAGCTTGCTATGTTACTTGAATCCATCCTCATCAATTGCCATTGTGTGAAATGTTACTGCTGCACTGCCAGTGGTTTACCCATAACAGGGCCTTTAAAGCCAGACTGCTGGTGGCTAATATTGGCTTAACAAACTTTTATGGTTCCTTATAGTTAAATATGGGACTGAGCATTAGCTCACCTGACGATATGGTAAGACGAATCTAAGGAATGTGGTTGGAATGTGATTTCAGCACAATGTAAGAAGAAATAAGTGAAAAGTGCAAATTGACGTTCAAGAAATACCTCGCTGCAATCATGTTTGGCTACCTATGATTGATCATTTGTCAACGTTATGAGATTTAGAAAGATGTGGTTTATTGGATCAGAGCAGTATGATGAAAGTGGAGAGATGCTTTCAAAGTCCTATTTTATTGTAGAACATCCATTAAATTATAAAGAAATTCAAGAGATTGGCTGTAAGACTAGCTTTGCTTTTATGGATTAGAGTGCAGAATAACTTGTATAATAAGAAGAAATGGGAATGCTACTATAGATGAGTGAAAAAATACAATAAGAGTTAAGATGAGAAATGTGCACATCCATAAAAGATAAGAAATGTGTGCATCCATAAAAGATGGAAGTTTCTTCTATTGAGGATAAAATAAGGGCTTTAACCATGTATAATGGAGGCCACCAAAATGAGTCAATTTGGAAAAGTGATAGGATTAATTTTAATAGAGCAAGGAGGACAAGAGATAAATGCAACGACTTGGACACAATCAAGAAGGATGTGAAAATGATTAAATACAGCGAGATGATAACCCTTAATAGAACTGAATCAAAGAAAAAAAATAATGTCGCCAATCACAAAAATGTGAGATAAAGCTTTATTGCTAGTATTAAATATAATCTGGTGTTGTCCAATTCTATGCACATTTTCATCATTCTTGTCCTGTTTGACCATCAGGAGATCTCTTCCTATTCTTCTCTGTGCATGGAATTCTCGTTTGCCACTCCCATTTGGAAATTAGGTGAAAGAGCTTCGTAGATATAATGATTCAACCACCATTTCAAGAATTTTGTCGAGATCTTCTCATTTTCAAAAACAAGACGTTCCCTTGTTCTGACACTGTTGTTCAATACCAAACTTGTTATGACTGATCTGCACATCTTAACCCTTTTGATTATCTTTACCACGACTCCACCATCAAGTCTTCATATCTTTACATGCTTCTTGTCAGCTTTCTTTTAGGATCGTCTTTTTATCTGCCAATTCTTTTTTCGTATTAGGTCTATCAACACATCTTCATTCTCCCTACAAACATGAGAGAATTGGACTAAAGAATTAACAAATATGACAGACTTTCTATTATAAAATCTTCATTAATTAATAATTATCATGCTGTCTCTTAATCAGGATGGCCAAAATGTGGGAAACCATGTATTCTCAGCACGACTCCCAGCTGAAGGTTGTTACCGACATCAGATCCCTGGACGTCTCAACAACAGCCAGAGAAACAAGCGAACACCACCATGGTCGCACCGTTCAACTGTACGATGTTGCTCGTGAGTGGCACTCTCAACTTCAAAAACTCATAAGCCACCAAAAAGAGTACATCCAAGCACTCAACAGCTGGCTAAAACTGAACCTAATCCCAATAGAGAGCAACTTAAAAGAGAAGGTCTCATCACCTCCAAGAGTTCACCGTCCTCCAATCCAAGCTCTCCTTGTTACTTGGCATGAGTATATGGAGAAATTACCAGATGAGCTAGCTAAAAGTGCGATCCAAAGCTTTTCTGGGGTTATAAATACTATAATGCTTCTTCAACAGGAAGAACTGAAGCAGAAAGAGAAGTGTGAAGAGACTCGGAGGGAGTATGTGAAAAGGTCTAGAGCTTTTGAGGATTGGTACCATAGGTATTCTCAGAAGAGGGCACAATTAGGTGAAGATGTAGAGGGGGAGAACCCTGAGGCAGGAAATCAGAAGGATTTGGTGGCAGAGAGGAAATTTGTTGTTGATTCTTTGAAGACTAAACTGGATGATGAGATTGAAGCTCATCAGAGACTTTGTAGACAGGTTAGAGAGAAGACCCTTGGGAGTTTGAAGTCACATTTGCCGGAGCTTTTTAGGGCTATGTCAGACTTTGCGCTTGCTTCTTCGGACATGTATCGGAGTTTGGGGTCCATACCAGCTGCCCATAATTCAGAACTTGACTAGTTCGAGAAGGCAAATGTATAGAAGAAATCTTAGATGCGCCTAAAGTATTTTCTTTCTTTTTTTCTAATTTATTTTGCTCCATATTGGGATTTGTTTTGGTGATGTTTAGCCACTAAAAGAGTTGGGCGTTTAGATTGTTATTATATTATTGTTGTTATGATCAACAGATTTGTATTTGTAATAGTTGATGCGTAGTCTTCTCCTGTTTGCAAGTTGTTCTGTATATCCATAAGACTGTGGAATAGATTTATATAGTAATCTTTATACATTTATTTACATATGCTATTTTATTGTTATATATGAATTTAACAAAACTATCATTTGTTGCATACGTGAACAAATGACACGTGCATGCATGAACAAATGATAGTTTAGTTAAATTCATACATGAACAAATTATAGTTTTGTTAAATTTATAACAATAAGACAGCATATGTATGCACGTAGTTAACAAAACTATCGTTTGTTCGTGTATGTATCTTTTTTGGGTGCCTTACTACTGCAAATAAGAAGCTATTTGTATAGGAAACAAAGCGTACTGCAGACTTGCCACCAGCCTGAATAAATAGAGCAGAGACTGTAACGACGTTTTATCGTATCATGGCACGTACTATCAGTGTTTTTACTGTATCTATTTTTGTCAATATTCATATGCATGCACGCTTCGTAGAAACCAACACTTAGTTATATATAGTTTTACTGTATACATATATATACATATATATATACATATACATGTGTGTACACACACACACATATATATATATATATATTATATATAAATATAATATATATAATATATATACTATAGAAGAGGAGAGGAGAGAGAGGATGGGTTGACTTGGTACCAAAGCACCCGGCACACAACAATTTTGTGGCTTGGTAATGAAATGTGTCACATTCCCTCCACTCACAACCTATAGAATTTGTTCCATAGTTTGAATGAGTGGAGGGCGAGATATTGACATCTTACTACAAGCACAACTTTTTGTGCTTGGTCCGGCAGCATACCCATATTTCCTCATATATAGTAATATATATATATTTATATATATCTATATTATATATATATATATATATAGTAATATCTAACTCCTTTTAAAAGCACGAGTTTAAGGAAAACTTTTAATAGTCAATATTACTCTTCACTATTTTGAATATTTTATTTATATCTTAATATATCTTAATCATAATTACATCATATCCTAATCCTACGTGAACTATCTACAAGTTAACAATTTAAAAAAAAAAATATAATATATAAAACATCTTTATGGTATTAGTTTGTTAAGATAAAGAAATTATGCATAGCTAACATACTATAATACATGAAGTATTGCAAAAAAACCCTAAAAATTTTTAAAATTGCACAAAATATCTTGAAAAGGTTAAAATTATAAAAATCATCGCGATGTATCAAAACTTAAAATAACAAACATGAAATCAAGATATTAAGAGCAGTTTGTGAAAATTTTAAAATTTACCGTTAGCACCTCAATGTCTCAAAAATTATAGAAACACCATCAAAAGTTCACAAACAAGCACCCTGAAATTCTAAAATTTCAAAACTTATAAACAACATAGATGAATTCAAGGAATTACCATGATGCACTTGAAAATTTCTGACATTTCAAAACTTAAAACAACAAATATGAAATTAAGAAATTAACAGCAGTCTCTGAAGAATTTACAAATTTCAATTAACGCCCTCAATATCTAAAAAATTATGGAAACACCCTCAAAAGTTTAAATTATGAAAAATCACTCTAAAATTCTAAAATTTTAAAATTTTCAAACAACAAAAGATGAATTCAAGATATTATCCTAATGCACCTAAAATTTTAAAATTTACCAAAATTAACCTCAAAGTTACAAACACTATAAAAAAACTCCTTCAAAATTTAAAAATCGCAAAAAAACTCTAAATTTTTAAAATTTATAACAAGTACACATCAAACCTGGAAACGATTGGTAGACCGCTGAAATTTAATTTTTTTCTAAAATTAATCTATAGTTTTAATAATTGTAAAAAAGCACCCTCAAAATTTTAGAGTTGCAAGAAATATCTTGACCTTTAAAAAAATTACCACCGACACATGAAACATGGAAGTTACAACTACCAAACTTAAAAGAATTTTTTTAAAACAACTCTCCCAAAGTTTAAAAACTACAAATCACACCCTCAAAGTTCAAAACCAAAAAGAACTGAAATTTTAAAACTTGGCAAAGAAAAGTATAATTGTTTGGTATTTTTTTCATTAAGATGTGTGTGTGTGTGTGTGTGTGTGTGTGTATGTCTAATTTCTAATTAAGGGTTTACTATCTCTTTTCAGCATCTAAAAATAGTATAAATTGATACTGGTAAACAAAAGTAATAAGAATTGATTAAAAACATCCAGTTAAAGAATAAAAATTTAAAAATATTATAGCTTAAAATTATCTGTCACTATATAAATTAATGTAACTACATATAATTTTACTAATAGGTTGGAGTAGCAAAAATACATTAGTAAATTAATTGATAAATATTTAAATCCATAAAAATAATAAAATACTATAATATAATAGCTTAGCATTAATTAATTATAATTTATAAATATTAATTTTTGATGTTAATAATATTTATAGGGTAAAAGAATACAAGAAATTACATATAGAGAAACTATCAGAATGTTCAGAGATACTCTTCCAATGAATTAAGCTATTTCCATTGCAAATGAGAAAGTAACGGAAATAAATTTAAAATTTAGAAAATATCCATAAATCACTTGAATTGGCATTAACATAAAGCATATTTATTAAAGAAGCATCGACTGAGTTGCGTTAAAAAATAATTTAACAACTTTATCCCAATCAAAAAAGAATTCTCTATGGAAGATATAAAAAAATTAGTAAGTATTCATAAAATTCATACTTTGTTATTCAAATACTAAAGAAAATAAATATTAATATTATAATTTAAGGCAGGTTAGTAATGAAAAATACAAGTATTTAGTTTAGATCTTTGTAAAAAATGACAGGGATAGAGAAAATATAATTTTATTTACATAACAAAAACTCTTATTGGATGCACATCAAAAGAATTCATTATAAAAAAAAGAGGTAGCTTCTAATCTTATTTAAGTAATAAATTAGGAACACAAAGAATTTCATATATATGAAATTAACATTTATTCTAATTTTCAAACTCTATATTTTAAGCAGTTTGTGTTGAACATCGGAAATACATTTGACTTCTTTGTAAAGTTAAACAAGAAGATAAAAGATTAACGAGCTCAAGAAAGATAACAGCATAAAAAATACAATTCCAGCTTGATGTCACAATCATGTAGATGATGAAGGCACTACTCTAGAATTGCCAAGGAAAATGAAAAAGGTGAAGAAGAGTTTTTCTTAGCTTAATAAAGATTAAAACAAAAGGAATAAAAGACAATATTTTCTAAATATATTAGAATAGTTTAATTATTTTGAGTGAAATTAGGAATATTTGGAAGGGAGTTTTATGAATTTTTTTTAGTATTTTTATATGTTGATGTGGATGCTTTTATCATATAAAAGTATACTAGAGTTAGTATTAATCTTTAATTTATAATTTTTTATGAAGTCTATCAATGATTAGGAACAAACTTTATATTTTCTTTTATATCATTTTAGCATACCTTTAATCAATTATTTTGCCATATTGGTTTTAAATATTCTCTAACACTATTTTTATATTTTTACTTTTGCAACACTGTACTTTCTCAAGTAACGTTTGGTTTTATATCGATCAAAATAATATGAAAATTCAAATTAGCTTCTAATTATATTTGTTCTCTGTCAATTCAAATATTAACATGAAAATTTAAATTGGGTGTATCCCATTTAAACAAACATAAAAAATCGTGATATAAAAGTTTAGAGACAAAAGTGAGCACAAACTATTAAAGTGGAACTAAGGAACACTTTTTTTAGTTAGAAAATAAGCCAAAAATACTTAATCATGATATTTAACCACGTGCATTGCACGTGTATAAAATCTAGTATATATATATATATTAATATATATGTGTGTGTGTGTGTGTGTGTGTATCATACTCCCTTTAAAAGCACGAGTTCGGAAAAATCTTTCTATGGTCAATATTATTCTTAGCTTTTTTTAATATTATATTGTTATCCTAATCTATTCTAATTTTAATCATATCTTATCTAATTCCACGTGAACTATCTATAGGTCAACAATTTAAAAAAAAGTTATTTTGAATATTTCAGTTAAAACTTAATCTATCCAAATACTAATTATATCCTATATTAACTCCATATGAACTACCTATAACTCAAAAATATAGAAAAAATAAGATTAAGAAATTATACGTAGATAACATATTATAATACATGAAGTACTATAAAAAAACCCAAAAGTTTCAAAATTTGCATATAATAGCCTTAAAAGTTTAAAATTATACAAAACACATTGACTTTTTAAAACTTAAAAACAAACATGATATCTAAAAATTTAAAACTTGTAATTAACGCCCTCAATATTTTAAAAATTATAGAAACAACCTCAAAAGTTTAAAGGCTAAATTATATTTATATACCCTATGTGTTTCTCTCTTGAAGTAGTTATATACTCTAAGTTATAAAATATAGCAAAAAAATACCATGAGTTGGCAAAAATTTGCAAGTTGGTACCTTCTGTTAACAAACTGTGAGAATATTTTCTGGAATATTCCCACGTGCTGGACCTATGACCAACTTGAATACTTCTCTTACCCTCATTTATTATATTATTTATTGTATTACCTACCCCCAACCCCTTGGCGTAAATTAGATTATTTTCATCATCATCTTCTTCTTTTCGTGGCCTCCAACTTGTTCTTCCTTTTTAATATGGGTAACAGTAGAAAATAAGAGCTTTCACTGTGTTGGGGGATGGGGGGAGTTAATTCTTAAGGAGGGGCATTATTGTCTTTTCATGTATTTTTTAACACAATTAGTTAAATTTAAATAGTTACCAACTCAGGGTATTTTTTTGCTATGTTTTGTAACTTAGGGTATATAATTACTACAAGAGCAAAACAATAGGGTATATAAGTACCATTTAGCCATGTTTAAATTACAAAAAACATTCTAAAATTCAGAGATTTTAAAACTTAGAAACAACATAGATGGATTCCAGGGATTACCATTAGGCACATAGAAATTTAAAATTAGTAAAAAAATCTCAAAGGTACAAAAATT